ACGTCAGCTACTGCTAGGTGTGTTCACAGATGAAGAAGCTGCAGTTCATAAGGTCAAGTCCCGCTGCCCAAGGCTGGCAGGCAGCAGGGTGGCACAGGCCTGGGCCTGCACACAGAGGTACGCGGCCCCCTCCATGCCGCCCACAAACCTCGGACACCCCTAAGCCCCCTTCCGCTCACTCCTCCTCAGGACGGCCATCCCTGATAACAGCTCAGAGACTCCTGTTCTTTGCAAACCCTGGAACCTGCCTCGTGTCCCCTCCCAGGGCCTGCCACTCCCATCTCCCCTTGGATGGGCCCCGAGCTCCCTCAGAGCGCAGGGAGAGGCCACAGGAAGTGATCTTAAGAAACAAACGGAACCCTTATAAGGCGGACAGATGTCAGAGGCAGATGCCTGCCCCAACCTGCACTTCCAGGCCAAGGCCCTCACCTCTGACCAACTCCTCCACTCTGTCCCCACATGGGACGCAAGCACCAGACCTCCTCCACTCACAGCGGACACTCAGGGTGCAGGGCCCGGGTCTGAGACCACACAGGTCTAGGGCAGGGACGCTCCCTGCCCACGGTCTGGCCAAGCTCCCCACGTGGGACAGAGCAGCAGCCCTGACAGCCACCCTCCCACCACGCGCCTGCCCGAGCAGACAAAAGGCGGCAGATGCTCAGTGAATGAATGAATGAATGAACGAACGAACGAACGAACGAACGATGCTCAGTGAGTGAATGAATGAATGAATGAGTGAGGGGATGCCCTTCAGGAGACAAAGCTTAGCAAATTTCCTCCTTACTCTCCTACTTCTTTCTTTCTTTATCATTAAAAAAAAAAAGGGAGTAGTCACTCCTTTCTTACCCATGTCCAGAATTACTGTTCCCCAAGGAAGGGCCGACCCGGGGTCCAACCCCGTTGTGATTTCTGACAGAATTCCAACTCGGTTCTCACGCCAGGGATGCCCTTGAGGGCGGAAGGGCCCCCCGCTCATTTACAGCCCACCCATTTCCTGAGCACCTGGCAGCGAGGGTCCAGGAAAGGTGTGACCCTCACGGCCACCGTGGGCTCGTCGCCTCGGACAGCCGAGCCGGAGGCGAAGTCCCAAGAATCAACAGCCACCGGCCCCGGGGACAACGGTGGGGCACGGAAGGGCTGCAGCTGCCCCTTCCGGCCACAGCGGCGAGCAAGGGGGCCTGGGCGAGGCCGGGGTGCCGGCGGCACGGGCGCAGCTGTGCAAAGTCCCAGAAGCCTGACCGGAAACGCGCCTGCGAGTCCGCGTGCCCCTCTTAAAATATAAAGACTCAATTATCTTGGAGCAGCTTGCTTTACACATGAATTGACACATTTATTTTACAATAAATAACTGAAAGTTATCTGTGTTTCCTTTACTGTTCATCTACACAGAGAAATAATAAACAGGGCTTGTCCGCGAAAATGCAACCACTGCAGTCCTCGGAATTCAATTAAGCTAAAATAATTAATGCTCCCACCGTATTAAATGACTTTATACATTTGAGCCACTGAAGTTTTATTCTTTAATCTTTCCTTTTATTAAATATAACAAAAAAAAAAGTTGGTGCCAAAGTAGGAAGGGAAAAGTGGGGGCCAGGGGGAGGGCACGACGCGCTGTCACACGGGGCGGGGGTCTCCCCCCAACACGGCGTGGGGACTGCCGTGCGCCTCTGCTTAAAATACCATTTTAAACGCTTTGAACAAACATATCTCTCTAGACTTCTAAGGGATTATTTTACGTATTTCCTCAAGAATGGAGAAATCCGTTCGTCCTGTTGCCGAACAGAAAAGGCCAAGAATATCTTTCGTCGCACATAAAATAAAAATACTGTGGGCTGCTGCGGTATTTACAACCCCAAAAAGAGGGGACGGGGACGGGGGCCGGGGCCGGGGCCGAGACAAAGCGCCTTGGAGATTAATTTCGCCTTTTCTGAAATCACATTTAGTCGCTTTCTCAAACAAACCCGCCCTCGATGATCTGCAGCCTCTCGGAGGAAAATACCTTCAACGTGAAATGAAGATTCGTATGGGTTTTTGGCAAAAGCAGAAAGCCTTTCAGCCGGCATATAAAGAGGGGCCCAGGTCTCAGCTGGCAGAAGCTGCCCGCGACTTGTGAAATGTAAGCATTTACACCTCCCCCAAGGGCACAGTGCTCCAGCCAGTGCTCCCGAGCCCTTGCCCAGACCATGGGGACAGGCGGTGTCAGAAGGGGCCTCTGAGATCAAGGGGCCTAACCCCTCTTTTCACAGGTGGTACACTTGTGTACACTGGTTTACACCGCCACTGAAAACAACCCCGGAGCGTCTGATGAAGGAAGTCAGGCTGGGGACCTCCGCCACGCAGACAAAAGGGACTCAGCTCCTTTCTCGCCTGAGGGCTCGGGCCCTCACGGAGGAAGTGTCGCTGGAGGAAGTGTCACTCGGATCTGCACGAAAGTCAGAAAGCAGGGTTTGTGTAATCGTGGACGTGGCAGACATCTGTCTCAGCGCCCTTGACCCCCGAGGAGGGTGACAGCCTTCGTGCTGAGACACACGGCAGCAGGCGAGGCCCGCGGGCCCACATCCACAGCATACACCACCGGTCTGTCCACAGCCCAGAGCGCTCATTACCCCATTTTACAGATGGGCAGAGGGAGGCCTGGGGTCACAGAGTAGCCAGGCTTGCTGCATTACCCTGCCCACTGCCTCCGCCTCCTCCGTGGGGGCGGGGGCCCTGGGTACAGCAGGCTCACCCTCCAAGGAACACCCAAAGGCTGTTTCCCTAACATGCCCACGAGCCTCCATGATCAACACACGGTGGACATGGAGCCACACGTTTCCCCAGCCGCCAGGGGCAGCCCCCCACCCTGAGAGAAAAGTCCCACTGGAGAAGCATTTACAGAGCCTCTGCTCAGGCCAGCGCCGCGCCAGGCCGGCCAGTGCTGTCAGTGACTGCTGGCCAATGAGGAGGCTGAGGCGGGGCCCTGCGTAGCATCTGCTCAAAGTCAACTCTCAGGATTCAAACCCTCATCTGCACACACTCTGATGCCATCTCGCCGCAGGACAGGCTGCTGCTTCTAGGGGACTTGGGCCAGCCAGGCCCCTCCTTCCCCCCAGGCTTCCTGGGCTCAGAAGTACTAACCGGAAGCAAACGCTCAGGGTTGCCCAGAGCCTGGGCTCCCCGGAGGAGGTGCTGGCAGACCGTGGCCGGGAGAGAGGGACTCGATGCAGACCCACTGTGGTGAGCACACCTGGCTGGAGGACACGAGCCCCACACCTGTTCCTCAGGTACTAGGAACAAGCCGTCCACGTGGCCGGCCAAGTGGGTGTGCCAAAGGGCACATCCGACCTCCCCCAAGGGCGCAGTGCTCCAGCGAGTGCTCACGAGCCCTTCCCCAGACCGTGGGGACAGGCGGTGTCAGAAGGGGCCTCTGAGATCAAGGGGCCTAACTCCTCTTTTCACAGGTGGTAAACTGAGGCCAGAGAGAGCAGGGGGAGAAAATGAGCACTCCCACTCAGCGGTGCCTTCCGGGGCCGGCCCACGCGCAGTCCCACAAGCTCACGACCCCAACGAAAGAGGTTTCACTGGCTCCATTTCACAGAGTGGGACACTGACTCAGCCAAGTCGTGAAGAACAGATTCCAACCCGAGACCATCTGGCTGCGAAGCCAGAGCTAAGCCGTGAACACCAGCAGAGCGAGGGCCGACCAGACTTCCAGATCCCCAAGCTGTCCTCTTGGCCCGTGCACCGGGCCCCCCTCGGAGTCCCAATGCCAAAGGCAAAGCAACCACCAGCCAGTCAGGCTGCCCTGAGCCCCAGGCCTGTCTCCTCTTCAGGGTCAACTCAGAAAGCACAAGCCCAGCCGGCGGCCCAGAGGCTGTCCTGGCCACCCCAGCACCGACACCCTCAGACCGAGGGCAAGCCCCCCGACACAGCCAGGGGCCAAGGCGGGCATGGGACCCACAAGGTGGCTTCCTCAGCGGCCAAGCGAGTGCAACGTTCCATACCTGCAATGTTCTCTTGCTTGGGGCAAATGCCTTTCGTGGGCGAGAGTAGGTGGTCATCTTCATCGGGGGTGACCTGGATCCCAATCTCCACGGGCTCGGACACTTTCCTGAGCTCGGAGCGTGAGGAGGGCGGCGGGCTGCCCTTGTCCAGGCCTTTGTCGTAGCAGGCGCCCAGGCTGCCACCACACTGCTTCTTCTTGTGCTCTATAAAAACCAGGATGTCCCCCAGGGGGAAGTTCATCTGACACTGTCCACAGGTGAGCAGGTCAGGGTCGGGGCCACCCACCAACAGCCCCAGGCCGCTGGGCTCCTCTATCTCCAGACCCTCATCTTCTTCAAGGATGGCGGCCTCCACATGGTCAGCCTCTGCTGGAGAGAGAAGGGAGAGGGGGGAGGGGCAGAGAAGACAGAGATGGGCTTAGGCAATCACGAGCACCCATCGTTCGCTCCAACCCGTCCCCACCGACAGGCGCCAGAGATCACCGAGTCCTCCCCACAACTCCTGGAGGCGGCTGGGGGGTGACCATGCCGCGTGTGACAGATGGGCACACCGCGGCTCCCGGGGGGGCTGCGGCCTCAGGACTGCTGACCTCACTACTTTCTAGTTCATTCTCTGCCACGCCCCCCTCCGACGTGGCATAGTGCCACGCACACGTCCACATGCACGGACGCACGTCCTGGTGTCACAAGAGACGCAGCCATCCCAGACGTGGCACTATCCGCTAGAGACGAGTCTCCCAGGCTTTGCGACATCTGACCGTCGCCTGGGGGGCCTGCACGCACAGACCCTTCCATGCCCAGGCTGCACCCCAGACCAGCGACGCTGGGATCCAAATGGCAGGTTGTCGTTTCTTAAGCCTCCCAGGTGACCCCGACGGGCCGGCGAGGCTGACAAGCGTGAGGCACCTGCCACGACCCCCACCGCCACCCCCCGACCCCGCCGCAACCTACTCGGTCTCGCCCGGCTCGCATTCCTCTACCTGAGACCTGGCCGCACACCAGACAAGAAAACAGAGACCCTGACGGCCATGACAGGGCCAGGCCTTCCAAGAGAAAGACGCCCATGTGCTCGGAAAGCAACAAGTGAGTGTTGCTTCCAGAAGAAGTATGGAAAGGAGAAGCAATGCAGGGGAGGGCACTGCGAGCCTGCAGGCGGGCGGGGAGCCGCCTCTCCTGCCCAAGGCCCAGCGCCTGGTCACACGTCCGCCGCTCCGTAGTTGTCCCAACACGCATCGCCTCCCCACTGTCCTTTTTTGCTGGTCGGTTGGATTCTCACTCCCAGAAAAAGAAAAGGAAAAAAAATTCTTCAGATGCCGAAAGCATTTCTTGGCAGATGACAAACCACACTTTCAATGGGCTGTACATTTTCACATTTCTCTAGCGGCCGATACACTTCCTTTTTGTAAGGCGCCTAGGACCCACATGCTTGGAAGCTAATACATGCCTCAAAAAGCAGCAACCTCCTCAGGGGAAGACTGGAAGACTCGGTCTTCCAGCCGAAGAAAAGTGTCATAAATAAGGGAGGTGGACAATGAGGGTGCATCTCCCCTCAGGGTCAGAGCGAACTCGAGTCGGAGGTTTTTGAGAGCAAATGTCAACAGCCGGGTACAGGGCTCGAGCGTCAGGGTCTTCAGAGGCCTGAACCCCGAGGAGGCAGGTAAATTTCAAGTGGCGTGATATTTAGGGAAGGATCACGAAAACCACAGAAGAACAGAGGGCCGGGATGGAAGAGAAACACATTCCGGGGCAGTGAAGTTACTGACGGGCCGGAGCCAAAGAACAGATAATTTAAGGAAAAAATTCTGTGGCATCTTTCACCCTACACATAAATCACCCCTCTGTATTTTCGGAACACAGACTTCTGCGGGGCCTGTGTGGGCCCACGTGTGGGCCTGAATCTAGAACAGACAGTGTGCGACCGTCTGTAACACGTATGATCTCCGTGGGTACAGATCCAAAACGGGTATTGCGGGAGGGGGAATCGCCATGTGAGAGCCTGCCTGTGGTTCTAGAAAAGCAGAGAGAGCCTCCTCAGTGAATTCAGTGGAGACTCGCACGAGAAACGTGGCCGTGCAAAAAAAACGCCCCGCAGATGAAGAAATCCCAAATCTGTGGTGTGCATCCCACTAACGAGAAGAACCTATATGGTAGGGGAAACCGTCATTCCCCACGCCAGCCCCACAAACCATTAATTACTCTCGAAAAAGAAATCGGAGTTTACTTAAAAAAAGAGTTGGAAGACAATGCTACATAATTAATTTACCAATTTATTTTATGAAAAGATGCTTTGCTACGGGTAAAACGTAATCACTACCCTCACACTGAACAGGGGTTTCAGGGGGCCTGGATTCTTGTGAACGGTTTGTCACAATGTAAAAGGTAATTATTTGGTGCCTCTTTTCCCTTTAATGATCTAAGATCTAACATTGAGCAATACTGTTTATATTGAAAAGCTCGCACCTTTAATTACCAATTACATATACATAATTTCAGAGCCAAAGGAGAGGGCTGTGAAAACAGTTCTTTAGAAATATAAGGATGTATTGTGCGCCATTTCTAGAGAAGGAAATCTAATAAATTGGAGGAGGATGTCAAAATATTGTTTTGTTAAAAAAAAAAAAAGAGAGAGAGAAAGAGGCACAAAGGAAATGAGCTGAAAAGCAAAAAAAGACAAAAAAAAAGGACAAAATGAAATTGAGAATTCAAATGCAATAGGGGCGCGTTCTGCGGTGGGAGGGGGACAGTCCCTGGTGCCTGGCACACTGCTGTCAGTGAGGGCATTCGGTAAAAATAAACGATGGCATTCGCTAATCCGTCCACATCCCCACCCAGATCGCCCCTCCGGGGGTCGGAGGTCGGGGAAGTGTCTTCCGCTGGCTCCCGTTCGTGTTTCGTGTTGCTTTGCCTCCCATTAACTTTTGCAGCCTGGTCCATCGCCCTCCTGCCCAGGAGTCCCGGGAAGCGTGGGTATCTCCTCCCTGCTAGGAGGTTTTAAGCTACATAATTTCAAATTCCTTTGCTAATTCAAAAAAAAAACAAAAACAAAAACAAACAAAACAAAAAAACAAAAACAAAACACACAGACTAATTTAAAAATTAGCGAAGGTCACATCTGCCTGTTTGCCAGCCTCGCTCCCTGTCCTCGTCGTTTGCTAAGGACGCTGTACCAGCTCTGTCTCCCTTTCTCTACCCCTTCCCCGTTTTTTTTGTGTGTGTTTTTTTGTTTTTTGGTAACAGCTGATCATCTTCCTTGATTTGGCAGCCCCTGCCTGTTCACTTTCCTCGTGCAGCCAGCCCTGCGAGCCCCGGTAATTGACTTTGCAAGTATCTCGAGCCATCCACTGTGCTGCAGTTCAGTTCTGCCTCCGGTGTCCCCCCACCCCCGACTCCGGCCAACCAACCTGGGCAGCCCGGCCCTGCTGGCACCCAGCGGTCAGCTCTGAACCCCAGGATCCAGCTCCCTGCCTCCAAGGCAAGCCCAGGAGGCAAAGAAACACCAACCAAAGCATCTTCCTCCCCTCCCACTTCCAGTGTTGAAAGTAAAACTCAAGATGACAGCGGACGTTCGCCCAGCTCCAAGAATGGGGTTTCCTCTCCCCCACCCCCCAGGGTGTGGGGCCTGCTACAGAGGACACTTCCCAGGAAGCTGGCAACGTCACCCCCAACGTTCAGAGAGAGGAGGCACCCCAAACCCCCCAACTGTCAAACTTCTGGGCCAGACCAGGTGGACCAAGACAGCTTGCTGAGCCTTAAAATCTCACACTCGAGGCCTTCGGAGACACCTCCAAAGTCAGGCTGTGGTTTCATTTCCGCTGGCAAGCGGATACCAAGCTGGGCGTGTGGGGCGCATGCATGCGTGTGTGTATCTGTGTGTGTGCATGTGTGTGTGTGTGTGTGCGTGTGTGTTAGAGCTGTACCAATAAGGGATGAAATGAACAGAGAAAGAGCCCCTTGGCCAAGCTCAGAGACGGGCCCTCTTAGAACCCCCCGCTTTCTCTGTCCTGAGAACGGGAGCTGCACAGCCCCACACGGCCTCGGAGAAGCAGGCCTCTGCTGTGGCAGGCGGAGTGGTCCAAACTGCCACCCACAGACAAGAAAGCACCAGAAAACAGAAAAGATACATGCAAAACAAAAACAGCCTTTCACATTCCCAGACCCTGCAGACCAGCCCCTCCGGCGGCCTGGTCCGCAAACTCAGGCCTGACCCAAGGAAGGCAAAGATGAGTTCCCCTCTGAGAGGAGGCGTGCCTTCGTGACATGCGCCCCAATGTCAGGCGGCCCTGGAAAACACTGCTGCTCCCACGAGTGTGAGCAGAACAAAGTAGAGGGGTTGCTGAAATGTTTGGTACATTACGAGGAATCGACCAGGAACGGATGCAGCAGGCCACTTGTCCCAGAGTCAGGTATCAGATTGAGGTGGATTCGGAAATGTTCACTCCTCAAGTGCATGGACAAATATGTATTTACACACACACACACACACACACACACACACACACACACACACACACAGAGTTAATTTTCTTTTACAACAAAACCACATTTTATTTGCAAGGCTGGGCCTCCTCCCAGCTGGTGAATGCATTTAGGAGCAATGAAATCAGGATTCACAAATAATAATGGATATTGTTGTTAAGTGCGCGGGGAAGCACTTGCTCCTAAGACGAACTCTCCCAGGCCTCTTCTCGGCTCGGGAGGAATTTGGGGCAGAAGACAGAAATGGAAAGACGCAGTTAACACGGGCCCAGCGGAGCAAGTCCACAGCCCCCAGCAGCTGCACGGCTTAGCAGGGCCTTACCTGGCCGGTGAGGGCTGCACACACAGGGCCCCCGGGGCCCCGCCCACCCCGGCCCATCTCTAACAACTGTCCCTGCACCTGCCCTCTGGGGAACTGTAGCCGAGAGGCTGGCAGCCCACTGCCCCCGGGCGCAGCGCGTGCACAGCACCGCGTCCCCCTTACCTGCCCTCCCTGATTCAAACCAGAGTCTCTGTCTTTCCCGGCTGAGCCACAGTCCAGGAGAAATATTTGCAGAATTATTGTTTCGGGGATGGGGTGAGGGGGTGAGGATGTCGGAGAAAGATGTGGGGGGAGGGATGCCAGGCTCCTAAAATCGTGTGCCACCAACGTCACAGACGCCATCACGATATGTACATGTGTTTACGAGAACCGTTCAGCATCCATCCGCCCGAGCGTTGCATCCCACCGGAGTCTTTACACCTGCTTCCTACGAAGACGGAGCCCCCTGCCACGCTCGCCGATATCTGGGAAGCGATCTCTTCGCTCCCCTCCCCGAGGACATTCAGCGAGGGCTGGGACTCCCAGCGACACCGAAACGCCACCAACGTGCACACTCGACAGAGCACACTTTCTGAGCTGCCATCAATTTTTAATTTATTGGCTCCAAGAGAAAATAACAACTGTGGGGAGGGGGGAGGGCGAAGGGTGGGTGGGAGGGAGAAGGAATCAATTCTCAGTGGGGACAATAATCTGTGACTAGGTGACACCGAAAGGCACGACAAGAGGCTTTATGAAGTTCTCTGAGCAGAGGGAATAAAGAAGTGCCCGGCAGGGAAGACCGGGGACCGGCAGCCCAGCCAGGCATGCGCTGTCCTCAGAAGGCCACGAAGGGTTTGGACGCATGTGAGGGTGGGGGCCACAATGCAGGTCGCAGCCCTTTTGGCCACCAAATGCCTACAGCCAGCGAGGCGTGGGGCTGCTGCTGGGACCTGGGAGACGGCACGGCCGGGCCGGG